ACTCTTGGGCTCACCTTCCCCTCCTATGTTATCATAACTATTAGTATTACTTAGAACCTTCCAAGTAACAGTTGGAAGGCTGTTAGACTTAGAGTGCGCATCCAAGATGTGCTAGAGCTGATAGCCAGTTGGTTGTGGGACCGTTCAACGTCAGTACCGTCGGTCAGTGTCGTGCAATGTTATCGCATGAGCTGATTGTTTAGTAACTGGTGGTGTTAGTGAACATTATAGCGTAACTTGTAGTTCCTTGGCCCTTCTTCTTTCTCTGAGGCTATTACAGTATTAGCGACGTAAAAACCCTAGCGAATTTAGCGATCGACTCATTTTCGCTAAAGTTTCAAGTCGCTAATCCGTTGAGACATCAGTAGTGCACTGGTGATCCGTGAGTAAAATCGCTGCAAATCGTTAAAATAAAACGTCGCTAACCGGTTGACAATGGGAAAACGCTAAAATTAATAGACGCTAAGGCAGTAAGGGGCCGTCCGTAAATATCGATGTTTTAAGACGATATTTGTTCATTTCTCCCCAGACCCCCTCCTCAAAACGAACATACACATGTTTTTGCAAGGGATCGATATTTTTTTTAATGAAGTTCAATTTCTTCATGAAACGTGACCAGCTGCCACTCTAATTTCACCATACACCTAGGTTTATGTTGCCACGGTCGCACAACCTTGCCATGGCTATGCTCACGAGGTTGACTTTCACTTTGTGTAGGTCATAAACTACATGTTCGAACAGCGCCCGTCCATAGATAGAGTTCGATATTTTTTTCTGCAAAGACGAGACGAACAGGGCCCAAACCCCCTCCCCCCCCCCCCCAAACGAACGAATATCTTCTCTAAAAAAACATCGATATTTGTGGACGACCCCTAAAATAATTACCCGTTCTACTACAGTATGTGCTCCCAACAGTAGCTCATACTGTAAAAGTAAGTAATAAGTAAATTATCGTGTCCGTTCCCGAAGGGAACTCACGACGGCCGCTAACACCCGGTAAACCCTAGCGGCAGATGCAGCGCCTAACGGTGGGGGTGAGTGGGTAAGTCTCACAACCACTGGCACAAGTGCCGAGAACGACCCCATTAGCTGCATCCATGTACCCCTTGTGCCTGGCCACAAGTTCCCAGTTGACTGTGGGTAGCAGCACGGCTGGAAAAACCGCTCCCAGGCAGGACTTGAACCAGGTACCTCTCGTATCTCAATCATGGTCTTTGACCAACCCACTGTGCCTGCCTGTAAAAGCCATAATACATGTACATGTATAACGAAGTGGTAACTCTAACGAGTCAAAATAGAAATCGCTATACAGAAATCGATACATATACATGTACATGTACTGTCCTATTGAGCGTTGAAAATGAGTGAAAATCGTTACCTTTGGTACACGTAAACTAGTCAATTTTGGGAAATCGTTATAATGTGCGCCTCGTTTAATGGCCTTTACAGTACGAGGTGATTCGTAATTTTTTAACATTGAGTCATTTCTTAACAAATCAGTAAAATATCTCATTGCAAGCACCTGCAAAAAGTCACTTCAAATTTCTTTTTGCCATTGCCATTGCCAATGTTCTGTCAAGTTCGCCTCCAAAATTGAGACTGATATTCCTTCAGGAAGTGACATTGCAAGAGCTTTCAGTCTGCATGTGCGCGATGTTTACGGTAAAATAGAGTATAAGAGAGTCATAGCCGCTGGTTTCAACCTCGAGTGACAACATATTTAGCTGAATAGGAAGCATATGATAGTTACATACTGGAAACGACGCCTGGGAAGGAGGAATGTCGGTGTGTTGGCCCTAGTAATGGCCAAACATTGGCAATCACTGAATTTGCTAACAGATGTTGATCACAATTACACATGAAATCAGGGTGATACACCTGTTGCTATGTAAGCTTGAATGGCTTGTATTTGGATGAACATGATCTTGATCCAGTCTTGCTGGACCATCTTGGAGACGTAGGGTCTCCTTCTATTGGAAACTGACTTGGAATTGTGCTGCTAAGGCCTATTTTACCATGATGTTAAGAAATGACCACAACAAATAATATGCGGAAAAATTGCCATTCTTCAACTGCCACCTGCTTCCCAACACCAAGGATTATGTGAATGAGAATCCCAACATTGCAATCCAAGGACATCAGTATTACATTTTTAGAGGACGAAATGGAAAGATTCACACCTCGAACCCTACGGAAGGCTATTTTACGAATCACCTCGTACTCATACTACTAGTCATACACGTAGGTCTACATGCCGTCTACATGACTGTACAATGTAGATTCTACAGCGTAGATCTACACTCTTCAACGCGGTGAACCCCTATCATATCAGCCTATGCCATGGGGCCCTAGGCCCTTGATAATGATACTGGCACATGGTTGTTGTTGTTTGTTTATTTAGAGTCGAAGAACAAACATGTACTTGATAATAATAATCTTTATTTCAGGATTACCCAAAGGCTGACGCCTATCGGGGGGGATCTCCTATTTACAATAAGCGACCGTACCATGCCAGCCTTTTGGGTCGCCACTCGCTATGGCAACGTGGATCATACAATTGGTGATTTAGCAAGTATTAAACGTAACCGTTTGGCTTATCGTATGCAAGCGAGAGATACAATGTATCTCATTCGAACCGATATTAAATTGTCTTTCTTCTGGGCCCTACTTGAAAAAAATTGATGCAATCAGCTGCTCCAACTCCAAGACTCCAAGTAACTTTTAGTTAGTTCTTGCTGCATATGGACGAGACGGGTTGTGTGTTGTTCCTCCCCAGCGTTGCGGTGTAAAGACGGTAATCATCTAGTTTAGGGTCCCAAATTATTTCGCACTTTCCCAGTGTTCTGTGTACTTTCTATGTACTTTCTGTGTACGTGAGAGCGTGTCAACCCCAGAAATTTGCAAATCGAGATCAAAAACACAGTAGCTGTTGATATGGATTTTTTTCATCAGAACCGATCAGACAGGGTACTGCTGATGAATGCTGCGGAGCAGGGAGCCGAAGGTGTTTCGTTCCTCTCGAACTCTTTGCCTCCACACGAACTCGCAGAGGTAGGTTGGAAACAACTCGCGAGACGTGCCGAAGTTGCGTTGAGCTGGCGCTTTGCACGCATCCACATATTCTCGACATTGTTGGTATGGATGCTCTTGACATAGTGGCAAGGCCTGCATCTCCAGCGAAACCCATTGTGGCTTTCCTGCCTCCTAGTGAGGCCACATCGCGCACCACATGTGTCACAGAGCATTTCGTTCCTGATAAAGCGCCGAGCGGCAAGGAACTCGAGTTGGCCAAGTAACAGTTGGGTCCTGGAAAAGATCGGCACAAGGGTGAACACGGCCCACTGCTCCATCAAAATTGCATCATTATTTAGTATGTCTCCCTGAGGGACATTCCGTATCGGCGCACCGGGACGCCCAGCCATTACCACAAAGTCAAAGGAAACAACTCTATAAAGGACACAAAACTTCGAAACACACTCAAGCACGCTCTCACGTACACAGAAAGTACAGACAACACTGGGAAAGTGCGAAATAATTTGGGACCCTAAACTAGATGATGCCGGTTATGGACTCTTGCTGGTGCACTGACTCATAGTCATACAGACATCTGCTACACTACTAAGTGCACTGTCGAATGTCGAGTCTAGTCTGTCGACTCAAATAAGTCTGTCATGTGGACATGTCAGTATGACGTATTGTCACTGACATACTACAATTGTTGTGTTGTAGACTAGTAATCATCATGACTCAAATCATGGGATCGGGAATCGGGAGCCGGGAGCCGGAGCTAGCTCGCACTGTCAAAAAAGCCGTGACCAAGGCAGAGAATGATTTTAGTCTTTTGCTAGACCATAATGCATAGGCCCGATAGGGTCACTGTCAGGGCCAAAATGTAGCATGCAGGGCACTTCTTTTCTCAACCATTTCTCTCCTCGGCTTTGATGTTGTAGTGGCAAAATGGCACCTTCGAAACATGCTTCCCTAGTTCTGCTGCTGCTGTTCGGGGTAAGCTGCACTGGCTTTGCAAAACCAGCATACAAGCACCTTGCTGGAGGACCGAGCGAGTTTCTTCCGCCAGCAGATCCTGCATCGGCTGCTGTCGAATCGCATATTCGACTGCTGCGCGATTTTCAGCTGAGCCCCGAATCGGACATCGCAAGCGAGGAGCAGCAATTTCTCGTGGACAGCAAGGACTTCACGTTTGTCATTCTCAGCTCATCGGATGGGCACTTGAGTGATATCGAGGCTAGTTTCCGCTCTCCCAATGGCAAAGCAATAGCGCCTTCATACGTATCCGGAGGGCCTTTCGGACTTGGCGGAAATGCATACCCCAGTAAATCCCTGTATTTCAACGATGTTCAACATGGCGAGTGGTCTGTGACACTGCAGCGTAGCGAGAAGTCCAAGATCTCAGCCGGCGACGAGCCACTCAAGGCGTTCACATTCGTCACGTTTTCGGACGGCGATTCGCCTGTGTCGGTGTCTGTATCGGCCGGTTCTCTGAACACCTTGGTCGGTGAATCGTTGGAGCTGCGCGCTGTCGTGAGGGACCCGACTAGCCAGTCAGCTGTGCAAGGCGATGGCGGCACGCCGCCATGTGCTCCCAATCAAGCCCGAGTTGAAACGGTGGATCTGATGGTGCGACATCCGTCAGGAAAGGTAACGTGCTACTTTATGGACATGTAATCGGATGTAGCAATATAGAGTAGCAAGTACCATAGCAAGTACCATTGAGTACTACATGTAGTAATACTCTCTAAAGTCTTGTATAAAAGCCACGGTTTGTACTCGTATGGGGAAATAAAATTATTTCACAGGCTTCTATCCAAGACAGGCTTCCGAGTAGGCCCCGGCGGATGATGCTCCAGAATTTGATGGATTCTGCTTTTCAATATGCTCGCATTCGGCTCCAAAATAGCACTGATAATGCTTGAATTCTGCTTCGGAAAAATAGAAATAATGGTTTAGATTACTAATGTTCCACATTGATAATAGCATACAATCATGTATTTTGCAGCATAAGTCATGTTCTACGAAACAGAAAACATGCAAGAAGCACAGAATTATTATTACTCGGCAAGCAAACGCGCGGTAGTGCTAGTCGCGAGGGCATCGTGAACTCTCACGAAAATCCCATATTTTGCAATAATATGCTAGTTTTCGCAAGAATATGCTAGTTTTCTGCAAAACTCGCCGGATTATGTTAGCGCAATGCTATTTTCCAGAAAGTGCTGAACATGCTATGATAATGCTAGCATTATCCGCTGGGGCCTACTTACGAGTATGTGTGTGGTACCGTAAAAAAAGTACCCATTGCCCCCCCCCCCCCCACACACACACACACGCTGTGTCCCTTCCCAGCCGGTTTTTTGGTGGGGGGGGGGGGGGATTAGATAAAGTCGCTCAAGTGCAGTGCGACATACAACAAAGCAGAAGACCAGGCCTGGCATGCTGGATTGTGCACAGTCATTATCATCCTGCACTGGCACGTATTGTGTACAGCATGCGTCGGTTCAGCAGCGTATTTCATTGTACCGTCACGGCATACCGACGTCGCTTCACAAGCAGAAAAATACAAGGAGGGGGGGGGGGGCGTATCAGCGGTACTTTACTGTACTGGTATTCTGGCTCATCACCAGTATCACCAGCAAGGTTCTAGCCAAGAAAAATATGTAGGGGGGGGGGGGAGGAGGGGCAGGGATTGAACAAACAGTTCGCCCATTTTTCCATGTTCCACTATTGCCTATCACATACTAAACTTGGCAGTACAGTTCATTCATTTGAAACTGGCACCCTACTAACTTTCAATTTACATGTTTTATAGTAGATGCATTAGAAATTGTTTTTTACACCATCGGATGACGCGCACAATTCATCGGATCCTAATAACTTTCCCAGTGAATTCTCCCATCGATGAGAAAGTTACAAAATATTTGGCCAGGTTTGCACCGAAATTTGGTAATTGCAGGTTTGCAGTGGAGTCCCCATTCCTTTTCTTTCTGTGTTGGAAATTCACACTCCAGTCTCTTTATTAGTGTAAGGTGTATTCAGTATGATTATGTACATGCACCTAGTATGCAGGCTGTTTCGTGTATTACACGTGTGTGAGTATTTCGGTTCTGCTCCTGTAGCAGTTGAGCACTCTTGACTCTTGTGTGGGGTAGTGCCTTTGCTGTTTGTGTTTTGCAGAGCTCACTGACTTGTCAGTTTGAGCACTCTGGCAAGGTACGTTCGGGCCTGGTTTAAATCTGGCTTTGGAAAATTTAATTTTCATTGCTATCAGGTTCGGCCTCGCTTCCTCTGCGCTGCGCTGATGAGTCCACAAAGGATGAAACAGTTCTGTCCGCAGATTGAGTCATGTACATGTATGTATTCTATTCTGTACATGTAGACCACCAGGGAGCCCATGCACAACGATGACTCCAGCACGAATAAGCTCACACCAGCTTTTGTTGCCAGCCTGGCATTGGCAGAGGTATGTACAGAAACTATTTTCACAGCAAGACATAGCTAGCACCAGGGCTGTGATAGTTGATTTGTTGACAATGGAAACCGTGATGGTATTGCTCCGGGAACCATTTCAGTTGTACGTATGCAGTTACAAATTAATGTCCGGAGTACAATCATGTACAGGAGCGTGTCTGAGTTATCCGACACCTTCGGCACCGGGCCCTTTGGCTTTAAAAGTGCACATATCCGTGTACATGCACGTATCCCTTCTTTTTGGCATTCTTTTCGTATCCGACACTTGTGATTAGTTGAAGTTTTGCACATCAATATTAACTCGCTCTTTAGCAATAAGACAATCTTCAGGGTATTAAAACGGTTTGCATGGAACACGCGGGAGAACTTGAGCTGCCAGCACGCTGTCGGATAACGGGCATGCCAGATGACTGAACGCAGGAAAAGTGACACGTGACTGTACATGAAAAACAGGCCTGTGTGTTGGCTAATGGCATCTGCACCACATGCGAACAGATTTGGCCTATTTCATAGTAGTTTTTAGTAGTTTTTACTATTAAAAAGAGAAGGAAACTGAAACACATTTCCTTCAAAGGAACGGACATTCCTTATTTTTCAGCACGGCTCAGCAGATAATACGCTGAATATGTCTTGCCTGTGTGCCTATCTCCCTGGCTGTGTACTTTGGCACAGGTCGGTAGCTATCAAGCCGAGGTTGTTGTGCAAGGTCAGCGATGTGATGGCAAGGTTTATGAGAGGACGGCATGGTACTGGCTGACGGCTGTGGAGAAGAGCGCTACTCTCTCTGGTCATGTTATTGTCACGCCATCCACAGCTGGTAGGTTCTAGTCTTCAGATTGCATACAGAATGCCCGGGACTAGTTGGCTATACTAGTATACGCACACGTTGTATACTATGAGCCAGAGCACGCTAATACTTGACTACAGCTTTTGTGGAAAAAGTCGAGAAAACACGTAGCTCCAACACACGTAGCTCCAACGGCATCTATGAAGCGCAAACCAACAACCTTCCAACTTGGACGGATCAGGTGCGGATAGTTCCAATGACGGGAAGGGAAGCGCAACGAAGATGTGCACAAGCTATGTCCCACGGCAACAAAGAATGTTGAATGTTACAGGATAATGAAAGAGACTAGCAAGACAATGGGACAAACCGGTCTAACTGCAACTCGACGACGCAAAACAACAGACCACCCAACTCGACGACGCAAAACAACAGACCACCCAACTTGTGAGGCTCGAAAGTATGTATGCGGTTTGTCAGCTTTGTCAAGTTTTATTTGCCAATATCTACAATTTGGAGTCATGTTGCTGGTATGAATGAGGTTGGTCAGAGAGCGTATTTAGTGGAGGTGGAACTAAGGATCAGCTGTTGTATTTTCGAACAAGTTTAGCATAGTCTATGATTGCGACGAGTGACAGTCCTATCCTGCTGCTGTGCGATTGCTGCGATGGCGACCCAGACATTTCATCTGTGTTGTCTTGTCTCGGTGAACAACAAAAAAAGACTGTATGCATGTAATTATATTATGTGCCCTTTATTCAGTAGAAGCTCAGAGGATTCTATCGGACCCTGTTCTTGTAGTTGAGTGCATTTAGAAAGGCTGGCAACGTTTGTAGATGTACAATCATTGTGTTGGTGTTGGTGTTGATGTACCAATGCAGAGTACCACCGTGATGTCATCGCAGAGCAAGTAACCATCAACTTGCTGCTTGGTGCTCCCAAGCTCAATGCTGTTCCTGCTAGTCCCCCGTATCGTGTCTATGCAGAGATTTTTAGCGACGATGCGAAGAGCGGCAACAACTCGGCAATACCTGTAGCTTGGATTGGTGAGCTCTAGCATGATGTGTGCTGTGCTGTGTACAGCACAATTTGAGCATTGCTTTGCACCGCTCTGTGCGTCAGAGTAGGCCATTACCTTTTGCCGGTATAGCTCGAAATCAGCTGCCACTTCTGACTGTATTTTGTTTGCTGTCCGGAAAGGGTATGGGTGGTGTTGGGAAGTTCTGCTCAGAATGCTCAGAATGATGAACTGTCAGAACTGTCAGGGAGTCAGGGAGAATATTTACATACATGTACGTATACTGAGATTGTGACAGATGATAATCGTTGCCTGTATTTTGTCTTACCTGCATGTAGGTGGTCTGTCGGACGTGTCCGAGGTCCAGTCAAGCCCTGCACTCTCCCTTCACCTGGACACGTCTTGGCTGCAGGGACACGGCGGGCCTTTCCAGCTGCGCAACGTGCGAGTCGAGGAACTGGAGACCTACTCGACTGTAGCGTCAGTGGCTGTTCTTGACTTGCCGCTGGACCCGGATACGGTGCGGCGAGTGGCAGCTATGAAGCCGGTGGAAACCATTACCAGAGCAATGCGTCAAGGCTATCACGTGGGACGTAAAGCTCACAACCGCACTGTCGGCGCTGCACAGGGACCGCTGCTATTGGTACACGGCTACTGCGCTCCGGAGACACCATTCACGCTGAGCGACTTTTCCGGATACAGCGAGTTCCAGGACTACCGGAAGAACCGGCTTATCTCCGACTTTGGCGTGCTGGTGGCCGAGTTTGCAGCGGAGCACGATTCGTTTGGTATTGTGGCCCACTCGCAGGGTGGTCTGGCTGTGCTGGACATGTATGCCTACCTAGCCACCGGACTAGACAATGCTGTAAGCAGGATGTGCATGGTACTTTGAAGTATACGCTATGTGTACTTGTAGCATACTGTACGGGCAGAACACACATGTGGGATGAGCTTCACTACTATTGTAGCCTTTCGTGCCACTGGGAATTTCTAGTGACTTTGTTAGAATTTTGCATTGTGCAACTCTTCCACTACAAGTACTCGTAGATCAGCATTCAGGGGACGCTAGCTACTAAAGTTATACTAGGTAGCTGCTATTGTGAACATGCATGACTGTGTTTGACGATCCTATTTTGTTTGAATTCTGCTTTGTGTGTGAGCATGTGTGTGTGTGTGTGTGTGTGTGTGTGTGTGTGTGTGTGTGTGCATGTGTGCGGGTGGTTGTGTATGTGCGTGTGTGTGCACATGCGTGTGGGTGGTGGTGTGTGCGTGTGTGGATGGGTGTGTATGTGCGGGTGTGTGCAGGTTGGTGAACGGCGTATTCAGACGCTGGCCACCCCATTCCGTGGCTCGCCGCTGTCCGGACTGCTGGCCATCATTGGTGACCTGCTTGGCTTTGGCTGTGGTGATAATAAGGACCTCAGCTACGACGGTACAACAAAATGGCTTGCAGGTATACCAGTGGACGCACGGTCCGAAGTCTACTACTATACTGGGCAGGTGAGAATCACGTTGTGGCTTGACACCAATAGCCATGTAGTGTGCGTACCGCTAGGCTGCTTTCCATCTATGTGCAAGGCGTACAAATTCTTCACACCTTAGCTTCGACTGGCTCTAGCCTAGAAGGTGCTGATGGGACTAACAGTACGGTACACTGTACTGTAGTACATGCACTTGTAATATGGATGTATTGCCGGGCAAAGTGCATCATAGCCTGCACAGGAACCCGCACCACCCACGCAGAAGTGCATGCATTCACAATTTGTTTTGTTTTCTTTACGTGTCGTGGGGCTGCAATTGCCTATTTTCTCTATTATTGCGAAGTACCACGAAAGCACCCCGTCTTGCAAGAGCGCCTTGATTTTACAGCCAGAGAAAGGAAATTTTATGGCAGACTGCAACTAAGTCTGTACGGTGTGAGAACTTTCGTGTACTAAAGTCTTGTTCTTGTGTGGAGCTCGCATCCGCTTAAAAGTAAATGCGTACAGATTGACTGCACACCGTGCATGCACATACCGTATGACCTACAAAGAAATACAGTTTGTAGATCTGCATTCTGTGGTGCGCGCGTGCGTGTGTGTGTGTGCGTGTGTGCGTGTGTGTGTGTGTGTGTGCGTGTGTACCGTATTTTTCGGAGTATAAGCCACATGGTGTGCGCGCGCGCGTGTGTGGTGTGTATGAATTAGAAAATCGTAAGAGACGCAGTAGTCACCTGCAGGATTTCAGCAGTTTCTGCAAAGCGGGAAATTTGCAGCAGGAAGAAGGCGTTGACATTGACATTGTGGATGAAAGTCTGTTCTAGAATAGTCAGGCTAGACTTCTTTGAGTGCTGCCCATGTCCTGTGTATAAAGACCGTGTGTTCCAGGTCTCAGTCTCTTCTGTCTGTTCACCTGTGTTATCAGTAACTGGCCTCAGTCTGTGTTACGTCAAATTCTTGCTTTTATGACTGTGGTATCTCTGTGTTTCAGTATTCCACGGGCAATCTGATCAACTACTGCATTCTGGCAGCCAATGCTGTACTGTCCTGGCCCAATGACGGCATGGTGGAATATTCCAGGACTGATTTGTCTGGTGGTCACGACATGGGCCATTCCAAAGGCCAGTGCCACTCCGTGGACATGCGTGACCCACCCATTGCCAAGAATCACGAGCGGAATGTTCTCATGAACTCGCTGGCTGCTCGCTGAGTACTTCGGCAGCCTGCGGCCTGCTACTGTTTCTTTCAGTGCCCATCTGTCCAACCACTGGAGGACCACTCACGGCCCTCATTTTCTCTACTGATCTCAAATGAAGTGATCATTTCCAAGGATTTTCCTTTTGTCGCTTTTATCACTAGCAAATTTGAATCTCTATTCATGTGCAAACTGGCTGTGCGTTTGACATCTCAATTGACTGAAAACCTATCTATTCTGTAAGTATTGCCAATGTCATAGTATTCATTAATTTTATGGAGGTGAAGCGTCCTCTTACCATTTTCTTTTTCTCTGAGAATATTTACAGGTTTACAGTGTGCTTGTTGATTTCCATTTCAATTTTCATTTCAATTTTCATTTCAATTTTCATTTCAATTTTCATTGGCTTCCGACTTCATCTCAAACACGCAATCTGGTGGCAGACAACAAATCATCCTTGTGCATATTTATTATTCATTATTGTTGTGACACATTTCAGTTTCAGAACAGCAGGTCTGTCTGTATCTTTGTGTAAGTTTCTATAATATTATTTGAATCAGCTCATGAATGAGAACTTTCTACTGCACTAGCGCATGCCACAGCTGCTGATGTTCTTGAGCGTGTGTGCGTGCGTGCGCGTGTGCATGTGTTAACGTGATGCCGCGGAATTGTAGTTTCCACAGGCAGTGCACATTCCAGCGAAGGCATTGCATACAAATGCCATGCCATGTACTGAAGTAGATATCAAAATGTGTACATAACACCTCTCCCTCCGACTGGCTATATAAATCAGGGAGCCCTACACATACAGGTATGCGTGGGACTCCCTGGCTATAATGGCCTTTATACCTCACTCCATATACACCCACACTCATATACCAGATCTCCCATGAAGTTTATAAATTTCCATATACACTGTTCAATATACACCACTAAGGAGGTATATACACCACTGAGGAAAACCATCAGAAAAAAACCCACTGAGGAGCTTTCTTTCTCTAAAAAGGAGTGTATATAGCTTTCTTTCTCTAACGATATATTCACTCCTTTTTAGGGAAAGAAAGCTATATTCACTCCTTTTTGCTCTTGTTATAATACGTATTGAATCTTGGCATTGTATACATGTACATGTACAGTAGCTCCGCCATAGTCACTATTCTTATCGGTCATGTGGTACACCATACAGGACTTCTACATATCACAGTATTAAAGTAAGTGCCAGTGATTATAACTACATGATTGTATTAATTTTGCTCAATCTCTGGACAGCTAGCTGCTTCGACCTTTAATACTAATACTACATTGTAGGTCTCCTCACTCAGCGGAGCTTAGAGTTACTGGCCGAACAGCGAGCTTTGCACTTACTTGTATACTAGTATTTAAAAAGGAATACCTACATTGTACATCGTTACAAATACAATGTCATGTAGTTGATGCTCATCCTGGTCTTCACAGCGCTCTGCAGAGTGCATGCCAGTCCACAAGCTGTACCCAGTGCACTGGCTACAATGTATCCGTGAACACAGAACAGTACACAATGCTGCCAATGGGAGAATTTTACATTTTTACTTCAACCTCGAACTCAAAATCCCAAGCAAGACTCTCTGAGCTCAAGACAACAGCAGGCCAGGCCGGGCCCAACTCGAAATGAGAAAGCACCGAAAAGCTTCAAAAGCAAGACCAACAAGAAATTTGTATGTCCTTATCCGGCTTACCGTACAACAGTTACCATACCGACGGCGTCTTCGTGGCTTCCCCGTACACTTTTTCTGAAACATGCATGCCAAATCGTCGATACGTTGCTGTCAACTCGTGTTCAGACTTCACTCGTGGCTTGGTCTGGAGAGGTATTTCCTCCCTTGCTCCGTGATAAATGAAGCCATGGCATGAAGCTGTTGACAGCTAATAGTGTAGTGGTGTAAATGGACAGGACTACTAATGACCCCAATAACACGGATAGGAATTACTGAGCGTAGAAACATCGTTGAAGTCGTACATTTTCGGAATATTCGTCGAAATGAAATCCACGTTGCACCAACTGTAATTTGTTTCCAGCTGAGAGGAGATAGCGAGAGAAGGCAAGAGCATGTCCAGTGCCTATGATGATGGGCCGCTACGCAGCCTGGTCGATGGGCTGACGGACGATGAGGGACGAATTCACCAGGAGGACTTCAGCCGTCTGATCTGCGAACAAATGGGTGTGTCTGAAGAGGTGAGGCACAGTAAAGGCATTGCCAGTGGCAGTGATGTTCCTCATAGTTCGTTAGATCTACAGTAGGAGTAGGGCCGTTGTATTCTGAGTGGTGTGTGCCTGCTGTGTGGAGAAGAGCCAAGAGTGCAAATGATTCACCTTCACATTGTGTCCAAACTCTGTGCCTGAAATTTCGTATTCAAACGACCCATATCATGCACTTCAACAGGCTTACCTTCCGGTATGTAGGACTGGATGAATGGGTAAAAAAATGAAAAAAATTGCCTCCAGGGAGTGTCTGATCATGAGCACAGTCAGTATTGGCAATAGTACAGCACAGGCTGTATACTATATAGACCAGTGCTGGCATTACAGTCATAATACTAATAGACTGCAGACAAGTACTGCCTACAGCTACTGGCATTAGTTTACTACATTGTAGTACTGTAGACTGTGTATGTAGAGCAGTACTGGCAGTAGCTAATCTACTGGTCAGCAGTGTAGACAAAGATCATCGTAGCGATTGTCTGTAGGCTGTGACACTGCGACACTGCACTGGTCCCACCGAATAACAATGCAGGCGAATTCAGTGCAGTGCAATGTTCAGTTGAAGTACTCAACCACCAAGACATGTGAATCACAGAAACGAACTGATGACCGTGAGATCACCTGACTACATCTGACACACTCACCGTGTGACACCATACAGAGTCTAGTCATACAGAATATGTAGTAGCACGCAACTGAACTTTCCTACCATCCTGGACAAAGAAGTATAGTTGAGAGAGTACCTGGCTGACGCTGATCCTGATATGGCTATGTTCACTGTCCAGATGTCTATAAATGTACAAACAAGAGTTCATAAACAAGAGTATGATCTATTTCCTATGGGCCAGATGCACGGCGTGCTGCCCTCATTACATCATGCAGCTGCAGCCCATGAAATGCGGAAAATCTAAACACCACACTTTCCCTCTGGTTTGAAATGAAGTTTTGTATGGAACTAGAGTTCTTACCCCCAAAATTTTGAGATCGCGTAGATACGCAAACGATTCGAGAAAAAACGGATGTGCTGGTACGAGATATTGTGGGTTTGAGTGCATGCTTTCAGAGCATGATGGGGGGCAAGTTATGTCATGAAGGCAGCACGCACGGACCCTTCAAACCACAGTTGCAGAATACTCTTGATACAAAGCAATTACTTTCTTAGGCATGCAGCTATCTGTGAAGCTGTGAGAAAGGACAGTGGCACGAATATGCTAGGTACTGTGGTGTCAGGTGGAATCCAAACCTGGTATGGTAGCTTGTAAAGCAGAGATCCAGGGCCAGGGCTGATTACACCGGACACCACTGTACCATGATGACCATGCAGTGTTATATCACTGTTGTCAATGTCACCAACGCACAGCCTCAGTGGTCAGTAACATCCAACAGGACTTCTGTCTTGCTACGCACCGTGTGATTGCTGTGTGTCAAATGCAGTATGGCTATGCAGTGTGGCTATGCAGTATGGCTATGCAGTGTGGATATGCAGTATGGATATGCAGTGTGGCTATGCAGTATGGCTATGCAGTGTGGCTATGCAGTGTGGATATGCAGTGTGGCTATGCAGTGTGGATATGCAGTGTGGATATGCAGTGTAGCTATGCAGAATGGATATGCAGTGTGGTTATGCAGTATGGATATGCATTGTGGATATGCAGTGTGGCTGTGCGGTGTCCATACAGCGTGATGCACGGGTCATATTTCACATGAATATATTCATGATGCTATTCTGCCCTGGCCGGATTTCTGTGGCCAAACCTGCGCAATGCGTGTCAGACCTATGGTGTGACAGCCTGAGTGTCACTACATACAATACATCTTTTAAAAGCATAGCAGTGCAATTGTGAAGTTGGTGTCAGTGTTAGTTTATGCTGGACCCGGTAGAGTTGGTTATGGTAGTGGCACAGCTGCTGACATCTGCTATGCTGTGACACGTATAGTGCAGAAAGCAGGCACGCATGCTGTAGAAGGCAGGCACATCTTTCTTTCAAGTGGTTTCCGGCAGGGAGTAGTACAACACCCATTGCACTACTCTCTGGTTTCCAGCTTGTCTGAAAATCCTTGGGTATTTCATAGAACTGGTGTCCATGTCATAGCTTGTAAGCCAAAGCAATAAACTATAGACTGCAGCAATATGCAGGGTTCTAGCCAAGGGGGGGGGGGGGGGGGATGTAGTAGGGGGGTCCAGGGGATGGTCGCCAAGGAATTATTGAAAAAATCAAGCCAAATTGTGCCCTTTGAGGGCATTTGCCACCCTTGCGTGATATGTTAAAAGAACCCCAGTAAATTTCCGTATGTGTGTACGTGTGTGACTGATGAGCAAAAAATTGGCCAAAATATTGGTCCAGCCGGCCCAGCCCCGGCGGCCCTAATCTTCATGACTGTGTGGGTGGATAATGGCCGGAGCTACTTGTAAACAGTTGTGTGAACTCCGTTGGTGTGATGCAATGCATCCTGGCACAGACAGGTATAGATGGTGTTCATTGTGACAGAGATACAGTCATGCAGACCAACAGTCTGCCCCATTGAGTGAAGCGTGCATTTTGTGGACGTGCAGCCCTACTAAATGTATAAAGCAGCACATTGATGACGCCACTATATGCCACATGATTATTATGAGTGTTTGGCGTGCAGAGTTTCCACTGGCAACCCGCTAAGGGATCATCCATCACACCATGTTCAAGTGTGCCGCCGTGCAGAGTTACAGTTAGATAGTACTGGCTAGAGTCACTCATAGTGTGGTCTTTATGTTTCCTATCTTGCCTATGTTGTCTGCGTCTCGTTTAAACCCAGCAAGCCGCAGAAGTTACGCAACAGCTGGACCCGAATGGCGAAGGCTACATAGATGTGGAGTGCATTTACGAAACGTTCCGAGCGCTAATACCGCAGTTCAGCTGTGAGTGCATGTGCGTGTGGTGCTGTTCAAACTGACCCGGGCCATTTTACTCTACTCACTATGCTGTCTTACCAAGGATTGGCGCACATAGGCAAAGAAAGAGTTGCAGGCGTATCATGTGTAGGTATGGTGTACTGGCACAATTAACAGGTCAAATTCAGTTGAGCATGGTTGATTAGCTTCAGTTCTCTCCTTTAGACCAGGGTGTACTACTGATCTTCACAAGAATTTCAAATTAAATTTTTTTGTCATTTTGCTTTCTTCTTGTTACAGCAAGAAATTCACTTGCCAGCGGTACTGGTGTTGAGGTGAGTGAAATTTCGTAGGGTTTCAATTGTTTAATTTTCATCAATATCCTCAGAAGCAGTGCTAAGATAAGAATAATAGGATTTGGGATGTGCCATTTCTGGTGAAGGATCCCGACTAAATGTGCGGCTGAAATATGCACCACTCTAGGTTCAGGCCTGCACTTTAGCAATGGTGGCTGTCAATACCATGGGGTGGGCCAAGTCTTGGCATATGATTTGCTGCTTGGGTGTGGACATCTTGCATCCACTCTGTACTCCTGGCTATTGCTCCTGGACATCTTGCATCCACTCTGTACTCCTGGCTATTGCTCCTCTTTATACTAGTAACTGCTCCCCCCCCCCCCCTCCCAGCTGCCGCTGAGTAGTACTACCAGTATGCATGCACCATAAAATTCCGCCAGAACCCCCGTCTAGCCAGAGCGCCGGCGGAAGAGCCTGAGTGCACAAGGGTTTCTACTTCATGTCCTGCTCCGCATTCATGATATCACTGTGCAAGCTTAGAGCACGCACACTGGTTGAAACGCCATTTGAGAATTCGGCGTCATTCCCCCAGGACACCGGCGAGACGACTGATTTGTGCAGTGGCATTTTGACCCATGTTACCAAACTAGTTCGTTCACCCCCGTGCAACCACACATCAGCGCAACCTCAACAACCATTGTTGGTTACACAAGTAGATTATCATTATAAATTGGGAGAGCAAAATATGAATTACAAGTCGAAGACAACCTCCATGACCAACAGACTCTCAAACCAAAAGGACCCGCAGAAATACAAGCTGGCATGCCTGCATGCATGCACGTACAAATTCATCATACAAGATGTACAATGCTAGCGTATACTACTGATGTACAGAAACACGTTCACAGTCCGCAACAGACCAAAATTCAAAAGTAGGGCTGAAACGATCGTGTATTTTCACCTATCAATTACTCTTTAGCTGAACGATCGATTAATCGATTATAATCGTTAGCAAATAGTGTCAGAATTTTGTGCAAAAATTACTCTGTTTCCAATAGCTAGGCCTTCATAATACGGTGATTATGCCAAAAATCTGCATTAGTGACAGGGTAGCTCCGACATGGCAGTTTTGAAGTCAATTTAACTACCGTAAAGTACCGTTGATCCGCCCCTCTCTAATTCCCGCCCCCTGCCGATTTTCTACTTGTGAAGCGACTTCGGCGTATACAACGAAATCTGATGTTGAACCGATGCATGCACTGCTGTACACAATACTTGCCAATGCAGGATGAAAATGTTCACAATCCAGCACATCGAGTCTGATCCTCTACGTTGTTGTACATCGTACTGCACTTGACAGGCTTGATCTTAATTCCCGTCCCCTGCCGAAAACCCAGCTGGGAAGCGACATGGCGTGGGGGGGGGGGGGGATCAACGGTACTTTACGGTAGTGTTGAAACGATCTCACCGGATACTCGTTAGCTCGCTCGCCAGAAACTCGGCTCGTTTGTGCAGCCAGCTCCTTTGCCCTAACGAACACCATACACCGTACTCCGTACACATGGCAGTACATGTCGACCGGGGAGTCGTAAAATAGTTTACGACTCCCTGGTCGGCCGAGAGTCCAGTCCCGTGCAAAGTGAAAATCACTCACAGTTACAGTGACTGTATGCCTGCACGACACTTGAGTTGTTTCAGTTGTCGTTGCAGCTTTGGTGGACTCTACTGATGTCTTGTTCCGCATCTGCTGACCTGTCGCAGGACATGCTTCGGTCACCTCTCCATTCGAGTGAAAGTTACGCTCAGTCGTTTGGAAGTTTTCTCCCGCGATGCAGCGAAGACCAGGGCTACTTGCAATCTTTGCAAAACGGTCTATTTTTACAAAGGCTACTCAACGACGGCGCTGAAAAGTCATCTCGACACCAAACAGCAGTCCGAAGTGAAGCAGCAGCAACCCCAAATGCCGGCGGTTATATTTGAACCAGCTGAAAAAATTGAACTTAGAAAAATATATATTCAAAAAATCATATTTGCCACATCAATGGAACTCGTTAGCTCGCTCGATAGCTTGCTCGTTAGTGGAACTGATCGCTCGTTTGTTATAGATACGCTCGTTTCAACACTAAATTTAACCTCAGAATATGCACCATGCCCCAGGCAACTGCATACTCACAGTGGAAACTGATTCAAACTTCACAAAAACGAGGGTTTTCAGTACTTTTTGGACTCAAAATCCCTAACGAGTAACCTATAACGTAACGATTACTTGATTGATGAGGAATAATCGATCGCTTACCGAGTAATTGGTATAATCGGTTCAGCCCTATTCAAAAGATAACGATTCAAAAGTCTGTCACTACGCAACAGGGCCGGCGCCACTAGTACGGCCGGTACGGCCATGGCCGTACCAACTTCCCAAAAAGTCGGTCCACGTGGAACGTCCAAAACCGGGGAGAAAAAGTTTCGATGTATGATTTTGTACTGGGAGTCGCCCAGAGTGCAGGATTTACCATCTAAGTTCCAAAAAAATTCTGGGGGGATGACCCCGGACCCCCTTCAAGATGGCCCTTCGGCCGCTCTGCGGAAGCCGCCTCTGGCCCTGCGCAAATAAATTACTTGAACGAAGAGAACCTCGATGAAACGTAATTATTACTAAAACGGAAAGTACCGTAGAATCCCGCGGATAAGCCCATGGGCTTATCTGTTTCACAAGGACATTTCGGTGGGCTTATACGAGAACATGGGCTTATACGCGGGCATGGGCTTATACGCCGACACCAAGTTGTGCTATTGAAAAGTATCAAGGAAGTGAGAAGTACATTGCTGAAAACCACTGTGCAAACAAAAACAACCGATGATTGTGCTGAAATGTACGAAAAAATATATGTAATGTGCATGTAGTACGTTCATGGTATGGCCAAGAGTCCATAATTTATGGGCTCTCGGTATGACCTAGGCCCATGGGCTTGTACGATGAAGCTTTGTGATGTTCGAACAAACCATGGGCTTATGTGCGGACATGGGCTTATCCGCGGGATTCTACGGTACTGCAAAGGAGTTGAGCAGTTCAGAAATACAAAGAGGAATTAGACATTGAATCAGCTGAGTAACATGTTGTCAAAACAAGCAGTTCTTCGTCTTCACTCCATTACCTTCAGTACATTACCTTCAGTACATTACCTTCAGTACATTACCTTCAGTACATTACTCCAGCAGTACTGTACTGCAGTAATGTACTGAAGTACATTACCTTCAGTACATTACTCCAGTACTGTACTGCAGTACTGTACTGCAGTACTGTACTGCAGTAATGTACTGCAGTACTGTACTGCAGTACATTACTGCAGTACATTATACAAGTTATGTTACTCATGATAACGATGAGGGGCTTGTAAGGGGCTACGATTCCGCAAGCCATGCGGAGCATGATCTGGTACATCCACTGCATTAGCCACATCGTTTTCAATACGCACACCCTCGTCAGTCTCACTGTCAGAGACATTACAGGAATCTTCTGAGGTTTGTAGACTGCGTTCAGGGCCGGCTAGCGGAGTGGGATCAGGCTTGATCGAGGCTATGTTGATGACCTTGTCAAGTCAGCCAGACTTAGAGATCACGACAGTAGACTTCGATATGATACG